TCCGTACTTTCCTGCTGCTAGCAAAGCTTCGATAGCAAAGGTACTACGCCCAACTCTAACATACTCTGCGCCTGCTTCCCATAGCGCTCAGGGAACACATCCGCGACTATGCCGATTGCCTTGGCAATCCAAGTCCGAGCAGTCTAGACTGGTCCTTAACCAACTCTGGACTCCAGACTTGAGCATCGGACCAACATGCACGCCATCGCCATGACGACATTGATAACGGCTTCGGGAACATATCCGTCCAGGGCTTTGACCAACAGCAAACCCTTCTTTTCATACTCGTAGCCTTGCAGGGCTGACGTCATGATCACGATTGCTGCCGCCCAGCTCTGCAACTTTGGCCTGAAAAGCTGTTGCAGCCGTTTGTCCCAAGCGGACAGCCGACGTATTTGATCATGGTGTGGAGACCGGCCACAAGGGCTCCCAACAGCGCCGCAATTAGACATGCAAACCTCAGTTTAAGAGTGCGAAACTCCTGCTAACTCTATCTTCTTCGGTCCGGACAGTCAACTGAGTCACTAGAGTGCTGCCGGGAGGCAACACCAGCAGAATCGGCAAAGATTCCGGCATCGCAGCATCACCTGCACATCAAGGCTATAGCCGGCCATAGCAGCCATGAGTGTCCTCCGCATTGCCAAGCAAAGGTGTTCTGATCCCAGTAGCCTGCGACCGAGAGCATGGAGAACCGGTCAGACCGTTCGGTGAGGTAGCCATTTCCTGAACATGCTGCTGCAAAAAAAGCAATGAGGCAGGCAACAACCTGTCGTCTGTTGAAGACAAGATAGCCTAGTCAGCCGCTCAGGCCATCGCGGGTACTCGCCGGCGTCTCGTCGAGATTACCCGGGAAGTACCTCGACCAAAGGCTACGCCAATACAAAACCTGGCTTCCAACTCAGCTGTCTCTTCACGCATGCACGCACACATACGTACATACATGCATGCATACATACATACATACATACATACATAAATACATACATACCCACATACACACACGCGCATGTTGTGCAACTGTTTGCAGTATGCCTGCACCCGTGCTTCAATTGTGCCTGCAGATCTTAGCCAAATACCGACAAGTGCAGCGACGAAGCGCACGCATTGCTGATGCGTTTAGCATTGCACCAGCTGCATATTCCCTCGCGCATTCGTTCACCCTCCGTCCAGCAACAGCCTATGCCCCTGCAATCGGAAGCTACCAAATGGGACATCCTCCATATCCTGAACACAGGTCGATGTACGATCACCAGAATAGGTCCCTCCGATGCCTCAAGCTTCCCACTTCCCATCTAGCCCCAAAAAAGGGGCAAGAGGTTTCAAAATTAAGGCTGACCGTGTGTTGAACAACATCTTCGAGGTGCAAGTTCAAGGTCCTACGGTCCTATGGTCCTATGTCCTATGGTCGATCCCCACAGGTTGTCTGCGGAAATCTAATGAATCTAATGCGGTGCTGAGGTGCTCCGCCACGATGCTGGACTCCTTCAAAGCCCCCACAGCTGACTTGAAAACAGAAAAAGCCGCGAGATGTCGGAGGCCCGGCCTTTCCGACGTCCTCTTCGATCTCTTCGTCGCCTTCATCACCTTCCTCGTTCTCAGAACGCTCTGCTAGAACGGGACACTCCGCATCTTCCCGGGTCACAGCGACCACGCTGCTCGCTGCATCGTCTCTCATACACCACCAAGCCTCACAGCCACGAAGTCAATTTCAAGCCCTGCTCCTGCTCAGTCTCCACACACAGGAGGCCCGCCTAGCCAAATGTCGCATACATGAAGGCGCTTTTGAGCCAAGACGGCGACTGCCCAGAGAGATCGCGCTAGACGCTACAGCACCCGCGCTTGCCACCAGCGTGCCGGTACAGTCTATGTCTACGTGGCTCTAAGTGACCTTGGCTGATTTCCCGAGGCTCGGGCCCAGCAGCCTTGAAGCTTTTCGGGGCTTGGCCCGCAAGAGAGCTTCAGCTTAGACTCGTTGGAGACCTTTGTGAGAGGGAAGCTGCTACTGTCTTCTCAAGCCAAGCAAGCACTTTCCATATCCTCCGCAGCCGGCGACGTGGGCCCTCTCACTCTGCCCCGTCAAGCTGCTATTCCAACTCACGCAGTACCCACGGATGCAAACTATCCCGGCAAGTGGGGGACGAGGAAGACAGACCGTTCTCGACAAGCGTCCTTCCCGTCTGCAGAGAGCGAGAACTGGACGAGAATCACATTCGTCGTGACAAGGACAACCACATCCTTCAAATGGGTGCGCACTGATGCCAGAAATCAGATCGGGAAGACCCCGAAGTTGGTCGCAATTCCCCAGAAATGAGGACGGGCAAACCCCGAACCCCCAAATGCATGAGGGCCAACACTCAGTCTGTAACGATTGCTGTCGACTCCCGGACTTGTAGTCTGCAAACCCTAAACGTTGGAACGAATGATCACGGACGGCAAACCAGAAAAAAGGTGCGATTGCTAGAAACTAGATGGGCCTGGCAGATGTGACACCTTAAACTGCATGACGGCGAAACGAACCCGAAAACAAACCGTAGGCTGTTAAACTGTCAATTCTCAAACCCACGACGGCAAACACTACATCTCAAGCTGTGTGAAACAAAGGGGTGTTGTCGAAACGCAAAGCCGCAAAGGCATGTGGAACAGCAGCCGACTTATTGACGAGTCTAACCATGACACCTTGCAACACCTTGCAAACCACATACCGTGAACTACATGATGACGGAAGCGAGATCTGATTACGAGTGAATGCTGGCGATTCCTTAGGTCCTAGAACATTGACCCGAAAACTGGCGTCGGCTGTCATCCGCAGACAGGGTGCCACCAAACGCAAAAAAAAACGAGCGCTTTCTGGACAGTCCCTGAAGCCCAATGACCGCCAAATCCTGAACACGAAATCCTGAAACTATCAGGCCCAAGACCCTCAAGCATCCATCGCGATGCAGCCCGGCAAACCCTAAACCCGAAACGGAGCATCGACCCGCACACAAGCCGTCAAACGCAAGAAGTGATTGGTTGGGAATTCGAGAGGTGGCTGGCAACCCCTTCACCCTCGTGAACGGTGGCTGGCAAACCATCCTGAACCGAATCCTCGCTGAAACAGAACCTTAGCAAGTGGCGAAGCTTCGAATGCTACTGCCAAACCCGAAACCACAATTGAATAACCGCCCGTGCGCAACCTGACAAGAACCGATCGCTGGCGCATCCAAAAACGGCCGCTGGTAACTTCTGCACGCCGCCGGAAAAGAAGCGATGGCTACTGGTAGCAGACTCTAGAACGACCTTCGAATAGTCCCGAAGCCTCACGAGAATGCTGGCTGGCAACCACAGAAACCTCACCGCTCACAGGAAGCCTCACTACACAGCAAAGGATGTTGCACGGAAAACCTTGACCTCAAAACGAAGCTTCGGCTCGCAAGCCATTCGGCGAAAAGAAAGGTGCTGGAAGGAGAAGGACTGGAGCGATGATAGAGTGATGGCCGTCGCACGCCCAACATGCGCCCCGCTTGTATGTGTCATCACTGCTCTCTAAACTGCTCTTTATGTCAGCCATGACCTCCGGAGATCTCGTGCAGAAAAGCGGAAGCTCAGGATTGTCCAGGCTGGTCCCTGGTCCCTGGGGCCTTCTCGCGATAGTACTCCAGCAAGAGCAGCGGCGAACCGATCTTGTATCGTTCAGAACATAGGCCAAAATCATCAGCCAGATAGATGATACCTGCTGGCTCAGGTGAGATGCTATAGCTTCAAGTTGCATTGCTGGCCTTGTTCTCCCCCGAAGAAGAAGGGCGGGTTGTCCAAATTTGGCTCGCCTGGGAGAGGTGAATGTTGGCGAACTGACCCTCTTGGAATCAGCAATCCAAGCACGTTGACCCTGCCTGATGGTGTCATGGTTCGGAAAATCACTTTGTCATGCGCACCAGTTTTCCTTCCAGGAACATGCTTGACACTCCAGCTCGTTCCTCCAGACATAGCCTCAAAGCCACCCCATCCCACCCGAATCCGGTGCTTTCAAGGCTTAGCAAAGTCATCAAGGCGACAGCGGCCTGTAGTGGCACATCTGGTTGCACAAACCTCTCATGTCGGTTTTCCACACTCCGACAACACCGTTGTTGTCCGTGGTCACCTGTGAATATCCAAAGTGCGAGCACACTCATGACAGAGCTTTCAAGAGCCAGGGGCCCCGGCGCATCTGGTGCCATGCGGATTGAACGTGATGCTCATGATGCGGGAGTCTCTATGGACCTGAGTGGACACGACCACGAGACTGACATGGCATCACAGGACCCACTTGGGTCACTTGGTGTATGTCTGCATCTTCCTTGCTGCCAGAGACACTTCCCGATCGTCTCGAGCACTGCTGCAGGCAGGCCCACTAAACGTCACCGCACCTCATGGACAGCAACCGCATCGCGACTACAAAGCAAACGTCCGCGTTCCACTAGTTCCACTACAGCCGCTACAGGAAGAGTTTCGTAGGTGTCAACAGAGAATCTCTCCGCTGGAGCCCCGGCCATCCTCCCATCCTGCAGCGAGCACCTGGACATGTCCCTCCCTGCATTGTCGCCGTCAACGAAAACTGGACAAAAAGCTGCAGATGGCCTTGGAGTTGGGATGCCAGGCAAGGGCTGTACACCTTTCTTAACATGCAGGCACGGTCTGACACTTCTGGCATGCGAGTCGGACGCCACTGGTGTGAATGCTCTTCTGAGGGTCGGTGCTGCACTGGTCTTGTTTGACAAAAGTCTGGAAGCTCTTCCCCTGATTTCAAGCTTCTGAACTTGCACAGCTTGGGCTTCAGCTTGGCATAGATATTGCAGAGGGTCGGGCAGGAAGCTCTGCAGCACTGCCGAAACCAGAGCGACTTTTTTCGCTGCTTCGCTTCTTTCGCCAGTCTTTAGAAGCTCCCCTTCCAAGCACAAAGACTAGGACTAGGATCTTTATCTCCGCGTAATGATGTGGAGTTGTGCCTGCAAAGCGGCCGAAAAAGCTCCATCCCGCAAATCTCATCGCTCCCATCGCTTTTGGGTCCACTTCGTGCCATCTGGCCACAGGATGCCGTCGCCGTCCCACTTTCCGATTACCTCTGACGGCTGGCCGATGCGCTTGCGGTCCACGATATCCCTGCCTGCTTGTTCAACCACGAGCTCGTTGGAATCCTTGTTGGCCAGGCTGACCTTCAGCGACCAGTCCTTGGATTAGCAGTAACACTACCCCGATCTCCCAGACGAGCGAACCCATCAAGCTTATGCGGAGATGATAAACAGGGACCTTGGTCGAAAACAGGGGCCGCAGCATTTGATGGTCGCCCTAAACTCTGAACATGAGCAAGCCCGCTGTGTCATTTCTGCCCTTCGCGGCATCTTCGCTGCCAAGGTGAGTCACATAATGCAAGCTCGGACTGTCTGAGGCAAGCAGCGTAGTACTGTACATCCCTCCGCTTGCGGCAACTGAACTTGCCCTCGTCACCGGCACCAGACAAGTCGTAGCCTTCGATCTTCCCTCGGCAGAACCCGCTTGACGACAAGATGGAATGCAACCCACCGGGGTGTGACTGAGTCTGCAGCCCTTAGTGCCATCAAAAGCGATGACAATGGATCGATCACATGCGGGGTGCTTCGGGTCCTCGTAGATCCCATACCACCTCAGCCGTTGCGGAACAGCCGAGGGCACGCTGACGCATGCTCGCGGGACTTCTGGGGCCGCTAGCTTGGATGCTCTGCCGCCCTTCTTCACAGGAGCTCCCTCCTGGACACCATCCGAGTCTGTCAATCCGGCAACAGGTCTCTGGATAAACAGATACCTCCGCTGCACGGATGCTGCGGGGGTGCCTCGGCTTTGGCCGCCTGTGGCGCCAGGCCAACCAATGCAGCTTGGATGGCCAGCCGTCTTCCCTGAAATCACGAAATAACACAATTAAATCACCGATGTGACATGTCGACGCGCAGCCTGCCTGAATTCCAGGAAGGAACGCGCTCACTGAATGCCTGCACCATCAGGTAAGTCACAGGGCGTATGCGGAAACGAACTTGTGCACCAAGGGCAGCACCGGCTCATCTGCCAGCAAATCATCGCCAGGAGAGCTAGGACGAGGCGCGACTTTGGCCTGGAGCCGCTCTGCCTGAGATGGAAGCTTGATATGGGAGTTTCCGAAAATTAGGGTAGCTTATTTTGGGGTCCTTATAATAAGGATCTTACTATTTAGGGTACTATATTAGGGTCCCCTATTTTCTGAAACCCCCATATGCCACTCTTGACCACACTTTTTGTCGTCACCCTTCCATGCGGCCTGATAGTCAGACCATCCGTATCGTTGCCTCTGCCATCACGGCCGCCACTCCAAATTCGCAAGCATCACGAACTATCATCATCATCATCATCATCATCATCATCATCATCATCACCGTCATCATCATCACCATCATCATCATCACCATCATCATCATCATCATCCTCATCGTCATCATCGTCATCATCATGATCATCCTGTTCATGATCACCATAAAACCACCAGTAGCATCACTAGTAATCAGCAGCAGCATGACAATCGCATGCCACATACACATCTGCCCTGCATTGTCAAAGTTGTCGCATCCTCCTTTACAAAAAAACCGATGGAGCCCAACCAAACGAATTTCTGAGTGCCTCGCGGAGCATGGCTACAAAGGGCCGGTGATGCCATGCTGGAGGCGGTGTCCCAGTCACTGTGTGCCGAAGTAAAGGCCTTGGCCTTTCACATGATATCGCTGCCAGTTAGGGGATATGTGTTTAAAATTCGCAAGGCTGTCTTGCACCCCAATCTGCTGAGCTGTCACTGCTGGCATATGCTGGGAAGATATAATCTTTTTGAGCCCGGCACGGAGCCACGATGACCTACACGGTCTGGTACTGTGCGCACTGACTTGGCTCTCCAGGCCATCTAGCATAGGTTGGAGAATATTGAGCAATATGCAACAGTCACTGAACTTAGATGATCTAGCTTACACTAGACACAGTTTTCTGTACATTTACGTCTTGTGATCGATGTTGGGAATTACATGCAGCCTGTAGCACCTGATGAGATAAGATGTTGCATCTGTGATGCTGACAGGTTTCATCTAATACTTTGATGCAGCAGCTAATTTTTTATGTTGTATACACGTTACATTCTCCGTCTCAGATGTAGTGGCCATGCAGTCGCCGTGCAGTGCAACTGTAAAGTTGCTGTGCGATGTATTGGGTCATGCTGTAGGGTGCTATGCAAAACTCTCTCGCCACATCCCAGTCCTTGCTATGCTGCCAACGTCATAGGAAATTCTACACTACTGGTTCATAGGTTATGCTGATTTGCAACCCTCTGTTATGTAAGTATGTGTGTCTGCACGCAAGTATATACGTATATGCCATAAACAGGTAGGTAGGCAGGCAGGCAGATTTTTAGCGTATACTTGTTGCAAGGCTGTCAAGCTACACCATAATTGGTGTACACACCAGTGTGAACAGTGTGCACCGAAGCACATAGTGACATAGTAGCCGCTGTTAGCATAGGTCTCCAACAGAATGTGCAGGTTGAGTGGGATAACAGAACATTCGAACGGCATAACAGGCAGGACAACGCATTCGCGATGTCTTCGTGATACATTCTAACCTGGACTCATACTACATGTTACATGATGAGAACTGTATAACAGAAGCTGCTGCCATGTCGTTGCAATGTGGCACACAATATCGCGATGTCATGTTGCACTAAGAGACAGGGAACAAGTTCAGATGCTGAGGTGGAAACAGGCAGTGAATCATGCAGTTGCGCATCTCTTTATCTAACCTACAAAGAAGAACACATATGCAGAGTATGTACAAATTCAGGTGTGTGTGTATATTATATATAGATACATATATAGGTAAAAGAATATATATATATATATATATAATACATACACATGCAAACTCTGTCCATACGTGTATGTGTACATACTTACATGCATATATAGATACACGTACAAGTACATAGAGATAGATAAGTTCGCTTACATTATTACATTATATGTACACCGATTTTTGTATAGGCATGTATTTTCGTATTCGCTTGTTTACTGCCCAAACCTGCACGGTATGTTGCGGCTCCTGCGCCGAAAGTACCTGCAGGCAGGCATGATCCCCAGGCCTTCTTCGCGAAATATTCGCAGGCAGCTTCCTTCAGCGACTGCCAGCAAAGGCATGTCCTGCACCAGGGGTCAGGAGTGTGCTTCAGGATTTTGAGGATTGGGGTCGTGTACTCACAGAGGCTTCGAGATACGCTTGTCCAAGCGCTGAGTCCTCACCCCAGCTCCACGCGATGCAACGCACAGACCTCGCATCGCAGATGTGAGTCCGGAGCAACAAACATGCTATGTGTATCGGCGATGTGACCATAGACAGGAGGACAGACAGACAGACAGACAGACAGACAGACAGACAGACAGACAGACCGACAGACAGACAGACAGACAGACAGACAGACAGACAGACAGACAGACAGATGGATAGATAGGTAGATAGATAGATAGATAGGTAGGTAGACAGATAGATATTATAGATTGATTGATAGATTATAGATTGATAGGCTGATAAATAAATAGTCAGATAGATAGTTAGGTGCATGGATGCCTGGATGGATGGGTGGATAGATAGACAGACAAATGTAAATATGTAGGATACAGATATATATATATATATATGTATATATATATATACACATATACGTACACACAATATTGTGGAGATTTACGGTACGTATAGGTAGCCCATGTCGAACAAATACATTCGTCGCTGCAAAAGTATGTGGCCTGACAGCCACGGCAGCAACAAAGCATTGGTCATCTGAGGCGGAAGCGAAGCATCCCCGAGAGCTAGGTGGTTGTCGAAAAATATCGACCTAAGTGAATGGGGCAAAAGCCCAGGGCATTCGGATAATGCGTGCTGGATCCGTACCACCTCACTTCATGGGCACTCAATTTCAGTAAGAACCGAGCGACATGGCTTGCAATGTGGGCGAACCCTTCTACTTTTGATCTAAAACATACGATATTGCTGCTTCATGTACTCCGCAATGTACATGCTCTGCTTCTCATCAGCATGTCTCGTGCTCCATTGAGCGGGGCGGCTTTCATGCTGTAGAACCGGATACACTGGTGCAGCACGGCTACATTGGCTACCAATCACCCGGCCTAAGCCTGTGCACCGTCCCTATCCATTTTGCTTCTTATCTACGGCCATATCCGCAACTCCGTCCTGGAACAGTGGCCGGCGCAGTTAACACAGTGTGAGACGCATGTGCTATGGAAGGTCAAGCACTGTCTCAGCGACAAATCTCTGAACACTGCACCGATCATAAAAGTCGTTGGCCTTTGCAGCTTGCTTCCTCCAAGTCGAAGATAGCCCTGCACGCCGGGAGCCTGCAGCTCGTGGCTCTCTGTGTCCAGGCCCTGGCCTGCATGCTCTGCATGAAAAGGAGCGGACTCGGAGCGGACAGGATGAAGACCATGGGCCTGGTGTATTCCGAGCCCCGATGCCCCCGATGCCCCCGATGCCCCATGCAGCGCACCTGTCTGACTGCCGGATCTTGGCAAAGGGCACAACTTCGAATGCCCACGCAACTGCAACCTGAGCCCGACTGAGGCTTGGCGTCTTGGCGCTTGCATGCACGATTCGTTATGCGAAGGAGTTGTAGAACGAGAGACTTTGTCCAGGGCCGCAGAAACAAGGTTCACCGCCCGTGTGACTTGTAACATCCGCTAGGGCCTGCCAGGACCTGGCTTAGCTCTGTGCTGCATTCTGGGCCTGGCACTCTTTGGCAGGTGATCTGTATCAGCTCCATCCAGCATGCTGTGCCAAGATTACTGGGAGCTGGGGCATGCTGAAGCAAGTTCTGGTTGGTGTTTCAGTCTTTCTGATGCTTTGCCTGCAAGTTGTCTGCCGGCTGTACACTGCTGCTGGCTATGCACACGATGATGCAAACACAGGGATACTCCGGATAGAGCACATGACATGTCCTACACCGAAACTCTGACGCGGCTGTAGCCTGGCTGGCTGCGGTGGAGACGCGACTCGACACAATGCAAAGTATCCTCTTTCACGGCAAACTGCTGCATAGTTTGCAAGCAATGAACCACTTTCTGACGCCCCGCTTAGTCAACTGCTTGGAAACATATTCGGCAACAGAACAGCAACAGCAACAGATGCAACAGCAACAACAACAACGAGAAACAGTCAATTCTAAGAACAGGACTCAAATCCATGGGAAAGCCTCATCTCTTCGGCAGATCCTCCTCCACTGCAGGTCGGTCCGACCGCTGCTCCGCACGTGTCCCGGCAGAGTCGTCCACTATGCTCTCGAAGAGCTTCGAACCAAGGAAGCCGTCCACGCGCCGGTACTCGGCCTGGTTCTGGCCTCCGTCGCGTACATCCGAACCACCGCGGCCACCGCGTTGATCCCCCAGGAAGTTGATCGAGGTGGGCTGCCGACTCGCGAAGGACTAACCAAAGGCATGAGGGCTGCACCTGGCAGCAGCGAGTCGCACATTTGCAAACAGCTCTTGTGAAGCAAGAGTTTGCAGAAACACAAGCCGGGTTCACCAACCACGAGCTTGTCTTGACCTGGAGTTGGTGATTGCACCGAACTACACTCGCTAAGGTCACCTGACATCCGCTCACCCGTAGATGGGATGTCACAGGGGCAGCTTGCACATCGGACCTGAGGTCCGGACGTCGACACCAGAATCCATCCGCTCGCATCGCGGCGAAGGACCTCTTGACCGAGGAAAGGGCTGCAACCTCCGCAAAGCCTCTCACGTGGAGCCTCGCAAAGCTCGCCCAGCTCCACTGAGATGGACTGCTGACCGAAGCCCGTGCCAGGACCGTCCCAAGCCTACCCAAACACTTGCCAGCTCTTGACCAAACCAGGACCGAGACGAAGCTTGATTTAGATCGCCTTGGCGACTACCAACACCTCCCTCTTTGCGGGCGAAGCCCTGGGCGGAGGCGCCTTGTGCGCCCCCTGGCAAGTCGTGGAGATCTCGGGGTCATGGCTAGAGCTTAACGGCGACTGAACAGACTCAAAAATTGAGCCACACCTTACGAAGCTTTGTCAGCCGACGGTTGGCCCGGTAAGCCTGCGCAGCGGGAATCTGTCGAGGTTCTGAGCCAAGCAGGGATGGGCATGTCAAGCGCTCTCGGACCTGCGCCAGCAGGCCTCTTCGGCGCGCGGATCGCATTAGGATCGCCTCAGGACTTGCATTGGAACATACGAGTGCCTCCAAGCAAAGCAGAAGTTCTAGACCGTCATACTGTTGTGCGATAAGAAGGCGTGAGGGCTAGAAGGCTCCCGTAACTGAAGCCGATGACCACATGCTGTAAGGACACTTCCGTTCCGCAAGAACTCGCGACGTTCTTAACTATCCAGCAGAGTCACGAGCTCCGCATGCTCCCGGCACGTCCGCATGCGCCTCAGAAGCTCCTGCGTGTCTTTGGGCCTCGTTGCCAGGTCTGTCCGTGGTCGAAGCGTCCAGTCTGACGGGTGCCAGGCAGAAACGGGTAGGGCCGGCAGCTGCGGACCTCAAAAGCTCCCAAGAAGATTCACGGACCAAAAAAGCCCTCCACACCAGACTCTGGGCTTCAGACCGTGGCCGTCGAACCGCTGGGAATCACCTGGAGCTCCAAGAGGGCTTCTACTTCTCTGACACTGACTCTGAATCACCCTTGGCTTAAACATGCCGGTCAAACTCCGGGCGGCGCCTGTGCCCGTGCGGATGTGGCAAAAGCATGCGGAACTCAAAAAAGACTGCCGAGTCGTCGAGTCCAGCCTCAACTTGGTGCTCGTCGCAGAGCCCATTGTGCAGGAGGCGATTTCCCGGTCGCATCTGAATTTCCTCGGTGGACAGTGGGCGAGTTGGGTGGCATCTACACTCTACATGTGCTACGAGTCAGAGCCTACAGGCAAGAGAAAGTGGATAGCTCGCACAAGGCTTTGAGAATCAAACCGACTGCTTTCCGATGATGCGCACGCCGGAGAGGCATTCCCGGATGTCGTTTTCCTGTCGTCATGTAGCTTGCTTAGGCTTGCTTTGCCGGCAGATTCTTGCGACGAAACCTCTGACCCCGAGGCACAGAGCCGTGGAAGCAGAGTCGAGAAGGCTGACTGAACAATGGCCCTTCCTTTACTCGTTCGTTACCGTAATCGATGCTACTTCAGGCCAGCACGTGTAACTCAGGTTGCTTTGACTTGCACCTCTGATGTTCATGCAAAACAGGATCTTTCCACACGTCGCGAAGACCCTGTTACAGTTTGGTTGCGCGACCAGCAAAGCAGTATCGACACTCCGGGCAACCAGCTCCCCGATCGCTCCTGCAAGACTGCCTTACAGTCCATGGCCGCCAGGACAGCTGGACCTTTCGTTTTTTTATGATCGGGTGGTCGGGCATGGGACTCAGTGCTGCTAGGCTAAAGGGTTTCGGTGACCAGACCACGCCTCCACAATCCGCGATGTGATTCCTGTGAACCTTGGAGCATGCAGCGTCACGTTGGGAGCCCACGAGTCAACTGCGGTTCACGCTCGACTTCACACCAACAGCAGCAGAACAATCCCAGGATGCCGTCCGAAAGCGCACATGCACGGAAGCAATTGGAGCACACGGAGCTTCTGCACCACGACAATCGTCCGCACTGATGCTTCTCAGAAGAACGAAAGTTAAGTAGTGTGATCCTCACTTTCGATTCGGATCTCCAAGGTTTATCAGCGATCATCCTCAGACACCAGCCGTCTACCAAAAAGACGCAGAGCAAAGCCAAGCCGTAATGCTCTTCCACTCACCCTTTCGAACGCAACTGAAGCTACCGATTGTCTATGCCGAGTCTATGCCACCTTTGCAGCTCAACCGCGGTTCACGCTCGACTTCCGTCCGAAAGCGCACATGCACGGAAGCAATTGGAGCACACGGAGCTTCTGCACCACGACAATCGTCCGCAGAGATGCTTCTCAGAAGAACGAAAGTTA